CGCCTCACCTGGAGCGAGCTGTTCGTGCTCAACGCGGCCCAGTGCTCCATGCCCCTGCACGTGGCGCCGCTGCTGGCCGCTGCGGGCCTCCACGCTTCGCCCATGTCCGCGGACCGCGTCGTGGCCTTCATGGACCACATCCGCATCTTTCAGGAACAGGTGGAGAAGCTCAAGGCGCTGCACGTCGACTCTGCCGAGTACAGCTGCCTCAAAGCCATCGTGCTGTTCACGTCAGGTGAGGATGCGGTCGCGGGGAGGGCAGGCTGTGCCGGGAGCTGGCGCGGGCACCGTGCGGCGGGAGCCTCGCTTCCCGCATCTCCCGCGCCGCCGCCACTGTCGCTGTGAGGCTCGGCCCTCACCCCACCTTAGGCCTGCCCAGGGTCTGCAGCCCCTGTACGTGGATGTCGCGGGCCGCGCCGCTGCCATCTTGCGAGCTTAGCGTTACTGGAGCGGAGGAGGCTCCGGGGAGGCCGGCGGCCTGGCCTGATGGCCTGGACCCCCGGGCGGGCGGCCTTAGACCGAGGCGACGGCCTGGGGAGGGGAGCTGCAGTACACTGTGGATAGTCTGGCTGCGTGTGTGCTCTGTGTGTGTGTGCGTGCATATGTGTGTGTGTGTGTGTGTGTGTGTGTGTGTGTGTGTGTGTGTGTGTGTGTGTGTGCGCGCCAGAGCTCAGCGTTTCTGGGGGAGGAACGATAGAGAAGGAAGAGAACGTGGGAAGGTGGCTTCCTACTCTGTGTGGCACTCTCCTTGGATGAGTTTCCCGACAGTGAGACACAGACAGAGGCGGAAAGAGAAGAATACGCACAAATAAATCATAAATAATCCCGCTTTATTGCTGCCTGATTTTCCCTTATCGGAAACCATTCATGTTTGCAGTTGCTGGGCTTATTGAGGGTCGTAAAAAACGGATTCGATCTAAACAAGAATGATAAAAAACAAAAGCAATACTGTAAAGCCCGCAAGCATGAGAGGATTGCGGGCCGGGAGATAAATTTCATAGCTATGCAAAACACACGAACATTGGAAATTTAAAAGGATGCCTTAAAAATATCAAATTAAATGTAGGCGGTGGTAGCACGCATGTTAACAATCTCTCTTATGATAGATGGTTCAAATTAACTTCCAGGAAAGTGCATTAACGTTGCCTTTGAAGGGCTCTGGTCTGAGCGTGTGAGAACACTACCCGCCTTTTATTATTGGAACCTGCAAGAGGGAAACATTATAAACACCAGGGACAGCAGGTAACAGCGGAAATACAAACAAAGCCCGAAAGGACTCTGGTGGGGGCAGAGCTGCTTAGATGGGCCCTGGGCCTTGCCCACTATGAGTAAGGTTAGCTGCGATTTTACCACTGCTATTGGTACTGTTGTTTTTAATTCCTCCATTAGGAGAACAAATAAACCATTCTAATAAATCTATCCTAGAGCCAGGCCCTCCAAAGCCAAATTAAAACCATCTTTGAGCAGAGATGGCAAAAATCTTTTTCCTAAAGCCTTGCTGAACAGTAAGCAATGGGATAATATATCACTATTTCTTGACTTCCATGCATGAAGAATCATATTTACATTGTATCAAAATGACTCTTAAATTTGCACAGTATTGTAATGTGGCAAATGTAGTATTAATATCGATCAGAGCAGCAGATAATTTATTTAGACAAGAGCAGCTCATTTGTATGCAAGGTGGCCAGAGCCATGGACTTGGGCTGCTCCCACCCCCTTTACTTTGGTCTGCTAGTGAGGGGGGGCGGGTTAGTCTTTGCAAGGTGCAAAACTTAAAACAAATGGAAGATTTATTGAACAGGTTCCTCGGTGTTTGAATGCATTTTGTCTTAATAAGTCTTCTTGATGGAAATGTGTTTTTCAAAAGTGACAAAGAGCCTGGGAAGCAGCGAGCGGGATCCTTTGACTCTGGCAGGCCTAGGCCTTGCTGGCGCTCTCCTACCCATGGCTTTAGCCAAATCCATCAGGAATGGAGCCAGTGAAGAGAAGCTAGGGGCTTAAAACCTCACCCAGCAAAGTGTCTTACAGCAGACGTGTGACTTGGAGCTGGACAGAGGTTTTCTCAGGAAAGGTCTCACTTCCCCTTCCTGATGTCCCTGAAGTTCTTTGAACCCCTTCGACTTTGCTGATTGTAGGGGTTCCCAGAGAGAGGCCTAGGATTGTGCGGGCTTCAGGGAACATTGCAGAATTATGCAGGCTTCACTTATAAATTTTCCATCCTAAAGCATTCCTGTGAAAAGTTCTTTAAAAAGAAAAAAAGTTTTCCAGCGAAGTTTTTGAACCATGTCTTCAAGGTGCAAAGAGTGCTGAGAAGTGAACAATAACAATATTTTGTTGGGAAATCGCAGGCAGAATATCTGAAAATGGAAATAGAACTGTCAGTAGTAATTCACCCACCTCCCTTCCATACAGAACATTTCCACTTTTGACTAAACTTGTTTTGATTGCTAGCCAGAAGGGAATTCATGGGAAGAAGGGAATTCATGGGAAGCCTTCTCAAAGTCATCCAACTTTTAAGCAAACTTAGAATGATGGAAAGGACAGTTTTAGACATATTGTCCAATGTGGCTCGATTTGGCAAGTATTTGAAGCTGGCATGGGGGTCCCCCGTGGTGGTTTTCACATTTGGCCTCCGGATGGTATGTTTAATCCTTAATATTCTGGACAGCATCCAAAGACTAGGTCATGACCTGAACTTGCTTTTAAAAAAAATTCTTTAATTCATATACCTAAATATTCCTTCAAATAAATGAGACTGACTCCGAAAAGAGCCATCTAGTTAACATAAATACAATAAATCCATTTTCAGCACAATAATAACTTTGATTTCTAGTTATGGCAGCTGATTACATCTATATTTCCTGAGCACTAAACTCTTCTGAATGCACAACATGAAATACATTCTCTGCACTACAAAGGGTAAGCCGGGAGGGCCTGAGCAGTAATGGTTATTTATTTACATAATTTCTTTTCCATATACTGTAGAAGAATTATTGAAGGTTCCCACATTGACACTACCATATAAAAAGTGAGACGTGGATTTTGTATATTCTGTCTCCTTTTCTTATCTGGAATGTAACTCATCAAGGGCAAATATGTACTGAATTACACCCTCTGCTCACCTCTCTTTGCCACCATAACCCACCAATTGATTCAAGCACACACACTGTCCGTCCACAGATGGGAGAATTCTGCTGCAGGGTCAAGGGCTGCTGAGTGTGTGAGACTGGGCCAGAGCTAGGACCCCTGTTGGACGACTGGTCCCTGCGAGGGAGACCCACCTACAGAAATCCCATCTCAAAGGTGGAAGCAGCCAGTGCAGGACCCTAGTGTCCCTGTCCAGGCTTCTCCTTCTTGGAGTCACCTATGTGGGAGTGAGGAAGTGACCTTGTAACTTGGGGGCCCTAATGTTTTACTGACCTGAGGTCATGTCATATGGACCTTTAAGGAAACATCTATTGGGGTATCAGTAGATCTTGCTCATATTGTGTTGTCTGTGGCTGAGACTATGCCATGGCATGAGGGACAGAAAATGTATGCAACGCATGATATATGTAAATACAAGTCTGTTTGATGGCCATTCAGCAAGGCTATGCTAGGAAGCAGGCCCAAGGGCAGATCTCAGAGTCCCCTCTCTAAGCAGTGAGGCCCCAAGTGCTCCTGTCCTGGCGGTGCAGGCCAGAATAATCTCCCTGGCTTCCTAACTCAGACCAGTGTGGGTGTACTGCACCAGCTGGATAGAGTAATTAGACATCTGAGAGGAACCCAGTCTGGAGCTGAGGTCAAAGGGGACTTGCCTCCGAAGTTCTTGAGTTATCACTAGTTTTATTTATATATTTGCTTGAGGCCATGCCCTTGTAGATGAAGGTGGTAGAGAGCTTTGTGACTCCAGCTCTTGAACTATAAGGGTGCACAGCATGGAAACAGCGGGCACAGATTTGGTTTTGAACAGTTTGTTTTCTTGGTGGTCTCACTTCCCCATTACACAGCGTCCTTTTACAGTGGTGTCATACATAAATCCCTTCCTCCATCTATATATCGGCAAACTATGTCTTTGATATCTAGTCAACCTCCCGACTGGCTAAGGGTTCCTCTGTGATCTCCCTGATTTTAAAATATGTATTATTAATATTTAAAAAAAGGCATAGGGAGTAAGGGGAAGTTCCCCCCTGTTTCTCTAATTCCGTGCTCCTCTTCCTTGGCTGGGACTTGGTTGGTGGATACAGGGTAATCTGCTCTCTTGAAATACTTTTAGAGGACCAAAAGGGGCTTTGGTTGGTTTGAAATAAGCACAAAGGTTTCCAGTTGCCATCACTGCATGAAGGTGCCTTGTCCCTTTTCCTCAGGTCCTGCTGCAGGAAACCTATCTCCCCCCTAAATACATCCCTAATTCCCCACTCCCCCACTTCTGAGGCAGAAGTACCAGCTGCCTCTAGCCTAGCTTTGTGTGTGCTCACTGTCGATGTTTCCTCTCTGCAGCCTGGATAACTGAGCCATTGCTCCTGATTATTGTGTAGCTTACAGAGATGTGACCGGTTTTCCATTTCTTCATCTAAGGAGCAGAGAGAAGTGTCCCCTCTCACTGAGGATTTGTTGCGCAGTCCTTGCTTGCATATATAGTTGATCTCAAATCCTGTATTGCTATAGCATGGGCTTGATCTGATTCTCGGTTCTCACAGCTTGTGATCCCTTACCTCCCGCCACGTGTATTCACTACACAAACTAGCTTCTCCTTGAGCTTGCTGGTTGGGGTCATTTCAATTTGAGAGGAGACTCAAAGGAGCCTCTTAAAACTGCTTCCAAGGCTGCACATTTCTTCGGGGGTCCCAAGTACCCCAAAATCAGGAGGGAAAGGGGCAAATGTCTTTCTTTTAATGAGCACAACCAGAAAGATTCTCCCCTACAGGAGAGAACAGGTTGCTATCCACAGCAAACATGGATTCACCATCGTACATTATTTAATCCAAAGGCGAAAGAGGAAAACAAAGGGCTGGCGAGGTTGTACTTCTGTGTGTATGTATGTCTCTCTCACGTTCCCCTAGGCATGGGGAGGTGGATTTATTTTTATTTGTATGGTGGATGGGGAAAGAGAATGTCAGAGAAGGGAGCAAAGAGGCATACTGAGGGAAGGATTTATTTTCTTTTTCTTCTACTTCTTTTTCCTTTCCTCCTCAAAATCATTAATGGCCGTGTGCCCTTACTGCTCACTGACCTAACCTTCTGTCCCCTTTCCCTGTCTCTCCTTCCTGTGGCTGCTCTGGCAGATGCCTGTGGCCTGTCGGATGCTGCCCACATCGAAAGCCTGCAGGAAAAATCGCAGTGTGCACTGGAGGAATATGTGAGGAGCCAGTACCCCAACCAGCCCAGCCGCTTTGGCAAGCTGCTGCTGCGGTTACCCTCTCTCCGCACCGTGTCCTCCTCGGTCATCGAGCAGCTCTTCTTCGTCCGCTTGGTAGGTAAAACCCCCATCGAAACTCTCATCCGAGACATGCTGCTGTCGGGGAGCAGCTTCAACTGGCCTTACATGTCCATCCAATGCTCCTAGACCCGGGGGTTTCCACCCGCCCCTGGACCCCACCCCCTAGAGACTAAGAGGACTCACCAAGACCAAGGACTCAAAAGCCTTGGGGATGTGGTATGATGGGCCAGGCAGGCCAGGCAGAGGGGAGGAGGGCTGGGGACAAGAGCAGCTACGCTGCAGGAATGCAGTCTGAGCTGAGAACTAGGAGGAAAAAAGACTTACTTAGGGTCTGATGTATAATGTAAGTACATTGGAGAGGAAAGAAAAGCACCTCGTGTCTGGTGAGAAAATGAAAACAAATTTTTCGAAGAGAGGACCGTGAGAAATTTAATAAAATAGAAGGACTCTAATGGACCTTCCAGGATTTATTGTGGATGGATGTGGATATATTCTGTACAGAAAACAACTCATATGGAAGTGGACTGAATCCTATGTAGAAACACACACACTGAACATTGTTATTCATTTTGTAAAATACTAGTCTTTATTTTCATTTTTTTGTAAAATTTAAACATCGTATGCGCATAAAGAAAAAGGAACAAGATTAGGGGAAATAACATTTTCCCAATAATTATAAAAATGTCCTGTGTCTATCTATCTCTATCTGTTTTGTATTTTTTCTGGTTCCAAACCAGATTTCCTGTGATTCTATACTAATAATTTTTGATATAACCCTTTGCTTCTTATAATGAGTGCGATATATGTTGTCGAGGCTGTTCTTCAAGAATTAAAATTGAAGTGAAAATTTAAACAAAAATAAAAGAATTTAGCAAAACCCATGTGTCTGGTTACTTGAACTGTACCCTCAGAGCAAGAGAAACCCCTGAACAATTTCTGTCTTGAATACTGTTAGAATCTGGACTTTTGAGAGGGAGAGGGGACTTGTAGGGCCCAGCACTAAGTCTGCTGGTCTCTTTCTTACAACAACCACTGAATTACTTTTGTAAAGCAGATGAAAAGGCCAGGCTGTGTGGGATGGTGTCGGAGGGGAAGGCAGGAGCCTGGGTGGCAGACAGGCGTCTTTGTGATTCCACTCCAAGGGCAGCAGCCCTGAGCACAGCTAAGGCAGAGGATGGGGCAGGCTGCCTTGCCTTTGGGGCACAATTTCCAGACACCGTAGGCCTCACAGGTCACTGAGGAGAGACCCAATGTCAGCTCACCTAGACTCTAACTGCAAAGATAGGGAGCTTGCTGAGCTGGGGAGACTTTGCAAAGGCTTACCTAGCACACCTGGCCGAGGTGGAGGGGAGAACTCCTCAAAACTTTTGAGTCTGGATGGGCCATGGACTCTAGGTCTTGCCCCTCGGTGCCTCTGGGCAGGAGCTGGGACATCAGCACCAGGGATTTTGACTTTGCTCTCTCCTGTGCCTCCCTGGAGATCTACCTACTTATGGTTTGCTCTTGCGTGGAACTGGTGCTCTGGTAGGTGGCGGTGGATGGACAGCAGCCACCCACTGCCACTCCCTACCAACCCTTCCTCCATGGCACTTCAAAGCTGGAAACTAGTAGTAGGAACTGAGTCAGGAACTGAGCTGGATTGGGTTCTTCCTGAACGTGCCATTTGGACCCTAGTGACCCTTGGAGGAGAGATAGCTCTTCTTGAGGCATCTAGCTGGGCATGCGCTGAGGGGCAAGCTCTGTGACAGCCTCCAGAGTATGAATGTTTTATGGGATCTGAGTTGGAGCTGTGAGAACACATACTGCCAAGGGAACGCTTCCTTAACGTATTAATAAAGCCAGATCTTTAAAAATAAAACCTCTCTCTCACATACATCCCCCACCCCCTGGCCCAGACAGGCTTAGATGAGGCAAGAGCTCACTTTCAGGAATCATCCGCAATCCTGTGCTTTCATTTTGCTGTCTGTAAGTTCCCAGGACCCTACAATTCTTAAGCGAGCCCCACCTGCTTGTCAGTTTTTAGTAATTTGGGTGCAGCACAGCATCTGCTAAGGCACTCTGTAGGTCAGTGGCCTCAAACCAGGCCACTAGAGGACTATCTATGCAGCTAGGCAGGCTGGGTGGGTGTGGAGCCTTTGGGTCTACATTCACTTTCCTTCAGTCTGGACACCCAAGGCACAGGGAACTCCCAGGAAGTACTGGGAACCCTCACAGACAGGTCAGTGGCAGAGTGTGGGTTCAAGGGTGGACTGCAGCTAGGGCCCTGAGTGGGAGGGGAGCCGAGCTGCCAGGAGAGCTCACTGATCTTTCCTGCTCTCTTGAAATGAGATGTAAATATATTCATTACAATGTGATCCCTATGATGAAAACAGATAAACATTTTTCATAGTTCAGAAATGTACTTTTCAATTAATTTCAATATGGAGGCCCAAGCGCAAGACGCCTAGTGTAGAAAAAGGCGGACAGCACAGGTCCCATATGCACAATGCACTTCCTCAGGACTCCAGGGCGTCAGCGGTCATTTGACTCCTGGTGACTGGCGGGGTCAGCAGGGTACTGGGGAATCCCAGCGACTTTTGCAAGCCTGGGCCCAACTCCCAGCCATTCCACGATGTGGAAAGAAGTGCAGGCCTCCCTAGGGGTACCTCCAGGAGCCAGGAAACATGGAGGGGGAAAGAGGAAGCAGGGATGCACGCATGCCCACTGGTCCGTTTGGGAATTCCCGGCACTAGTTTTTCTTCCCACCTGCAATACATAAGGAGAGAAGGTTGTGCTTCTGGAGTCAGAGATGTAGGTCTCTTCCTAAGATAGAGGAGGACTCTAAAAGACTCCGGAGTTGTGCACCCACGCTAGGCTGGACAGCTACTTGAACCCGCAAGCTTCCCACTTTCGGAGCATAGAACACAGAAAACACACACACACACACACACACACACACACACACACACACACACACACACACACACCTGTTCACCCTGAGGTAATGTTGAGGAACCAAGACAGAGGCCAAAAAACTGCTGCTGTAGCCTCTTAACAACAGGGAAGCGCCCTGCTACAGCCCGGGAAGCACCCTATGCTTCCTGGCGGGCCTTAGAGGGTGCAACTTGGGGCCAGGCCAGCAGCCTCTGGGCTCTCAGCGCGGGGAACAGGTTCCAGTAGTGGCCAGACTGCCTGAGTTGTGCATCTTGTGTTTTCTCTGGCTCTAGTAGTTTCTGTGGTCCTGGGACTGAATCCGAAGCGAGGTTGAGCGCCTTCTTCCTGGGTGGCCGGCTGGAGGGCCCTCAGTGTTGAGCCACTTTCCTGCTAGGCGCCAGGGGGAGCCATGGACGCAGGGTGTGAGTGTCAGGTCAGTGTATGGCTCCGGAGGAGTAGCCTGAGCACCTGGACCCCAAAAGTTGGGAAAATGGACACCAGCTAACCGAGCATGGGAAAACAAGTGTTCCCCGGAGTCAGTGGAAATACATCTCAAAACTGAAGGCAACCAACGTAAAATGACTTCTATCTCCAAATTACCTATTTAGCTAGGATTAATGCTCTTCTATAACCCAAACACTTGCTGGGCACCCAAGAACTTCAGGGACTTCAAAATAGATTTAAATAAATTACCTTAGCTGAAACTTGGAGAAATCGCTAGGGAAACCAGGATGTGCCTTTGCAGCTCAGACGACAACACAGAATGGGAAGGTATGACCTTTGACATGCTCTGTTCTTCCCACACCAATTCTGGTTTGGCATCAGGCTGGGTGAAAAAACGCCCAGAACAGAGATGTGGATCCTTTCCTGTTCACCTTGCACTTCTAGACTCTGCCCCTCCTTAATAGGGGTTGGAGCTTCTGGCAGCAGCGTGGGACAGGGTCTTGGAGACTTTACAGCCCAGCCTTGGTATTAGGGACGCTGGGGAGCTGGAACCCAAAGCCAAGCTCTTTAAGGCAGCGCAAAAAAAAAATTAAATAAGTTTGTTTTTGAAAATATTCTTTCTCCTTTTGTCCATGCATAGGCAGCCCTTCTCTTCCTACCCTGGCTGACTCATGTCTGGGATGCTCCCCTGTTCCTCGGAGCACATCACCTAAATCCCCTGCAAGTAGGGACCGTGAGAAGCATGGGGAGGGGGAGAGGGACAGGGGGACACAAGTGGGAACCAATAAAACTCTTGTTAAAGGGCCTGTTCAGGATCTGTGGCATTACTCGGCTTTTTGCTTGGGAAGCCAAAGAGTCCTATTTCTAAATGAGTTAAAGACCCATTTACCTCTGTCGTGTTCTATTCATCAAGCCACAAGTTGAGAGTTCCTAACATGAAACTATTTGTTTGCTTACACAACCAGCTGGGCGCAATTTCACGTCTGAGATATCTATCTGAAAGCGCCTCTCATTTATTATCTCTTCTTGTCAGGGAATCCATTTTCCAACTCCCCCTCCCCTTCCGAGTTTGTTTGTTTGTTTATTATTTATTTATTTATCATCGGACATCTTTCCCTAGGGAACAACGGCATGGGGCTCAGGGCCTCCTGGGCCCAAGGTCTTAGACCAGGGAATAATAGCGGGTCGGTCCGCTGTGACTGCTGCTGTGACCCCAGCTGGCTGGGAAGCAAGAGGTGGAGTGGCCCGTGGGCCAGATCCAAAACCGTTGGGCAGCCTTGCTTCTCGGAAGTTCTCCCTGCTAACTCCCCCCCCCCCACCTCCCCGAGAAAGCTCCAGACACCCATGCCAGGGACAGAGGCCTGCCTAGGACAGGGAAGTAAAACCTGGATTCTTTTCTGGAGGTTGTGGCCCGAGATTCGGATTTAAGAGACACTTTGACAAAGCCTCACCTGCTTCCATGTGGCCAATTTCTTCTTCTGGGGCCAGATCGCAGAGTGAGTAACCAAGATGTAAATAGTAGTGTGATGGGTTGGGGGAGGGCGCAGTGCATTTATTGTGTGTGCAGAGGGGGAAAGACAGCACGTGGTTTCAATTTTGAAGCACAAAGAAATAACATGCAATGCAGAAAATAGGTTTATGAATGTAATTGAGAGGAAAGAAAACAATTAACACGGTGGAAGGTTGAACATCAGAGTCCCCACCCCGGCTTTCCCTTCTATCCAAATTCGAGAAATCCAGATCATGTAGAACAGAGTGGGTCTAGGCAGTTGGATCCTGCTGACAAGAGACCCCCCGATGGGAATCTCAGTGATAGCTAAATAATGACGCCTATACATCTTCTGAACTGCTAAGGCTTCTTCTAACCAAGCAAGGGATCAAATCCCCAATCTATCCTATAAAATACCCCCAATTCTGAAGAACGAAAAGAGATGTGTGTGTGTGTGTGTGTGTGTGTGTGTGTGTGTGTGTGCAAGAGAGGGGGAGGGACACACACACACACAGAGGTGGGATTTCCTTCTTGAAGAACAAGCTGGTCTCTGCAAGCTATCCTATTGTGTTGATTTAGGAAGACATTTGCTGTATATAACGTTTAAGGCTGATAATATCATTGCACAGCCAGATAAATAAAGCTTTGGCCCAATAGTGGGGTCAGCGATCGATCTCTGGGCTCAGAGGAAAAAGGCAAGACGAGGTCGGCAGGATGCTCTGTCTGTGTGCCTGTCAGACAGCTTGCAGGACCCCGATGTGTGTGAGCTTCAGCGTGTGCTGTGCTAAAGCCAGAACCTCGTCTTGAGCTGGCCAATAGGCTCATTAGCATTCCTAACCCATGGACCTGCGCTGACAACTAACAGAGACATCCCGCTCACCACCAGCCCTTCTCGCCTTTTGTCTTCAGATCTGGAAGGCAGAAGAGAAAAAGATTTTTCAGCAGAAGCTGGAGTCTGAACTTCTATGTGATTGTTGGCGATTCAGGGTGTGTGTGTGTGTGTGTGTGTGTGTGTGTGTGTGTGTGTGTGT